GGGTTCATTTTGGCTCTTGGTCATCAAGAATATGCCAAATAAAACATATATTTGTATTAAAATCTCACTGGGAGTTTTCCCACCTGAAACAACAAATCTGAACACCAGTTCTTTTGTTTGACAGGTTTGGGCAAAAATTGTGTAAAGGTTTGATTGAGTTCTCTCTTCCAGTGCCCTTCTCTAAAACAACCCACCGTGACACATTTGTACTGCTGCCCATTATTTTAATATCCAGTTACATCATTACTACTTAAAACTTCATTTTTCTGGGTTTGTTGCAGAGCAACAATTCCACAGATCCTTCTTCACAGTGGAAGATACCGAGTTCTTGGCGCCTACTTTTTGGCAACGGTCTCCCACCTGCCCTCTTCTGATCAGCTCTGAGCTCGCTGTGAGTCACGTGTGCGGTTGCAGATGTCCCTTGAGGTGGTGATTACACAGCAATTGCCAAGGAGCAGCAGCTTGCTTTGGTGTCTACATAAATGCTTTATTTAAGAAAAATTACTTTTGTGTATGTGGGTAGCTAAAGAAATTAAGGTAACTTTCACAAACTCACCAAAGAAATATGTTTTGTACAGTTGTTTATTGAGTAACTTTGGTTGGAAGTTTTTTCTAATAAAATATTTTTTAAGAAACTTTTTTCCCTGATTAAGTGTTAATGCCATGGACAAGCTTAAGGTGCTCCTTTTTAATGTAGCTGAGAACTGAGAGTGATGTGTAGGCATGGATTTTCTTGGAGGATAAAACTCTCCACTTCCATGTCAACTGTGGATCTTAACTTTTTTTTCAAGACTTCCTGGTGAGGTAAGTGAACATCAGAAGTGATCTGGTTTTGCCTTCTTTTCCCAGTGATGTTGTAGTAGCTTCAGATGGGGAGACTGGGAGACTGCAGTGTAACAGCCTGTTCTGTCTTTTCTGCCTATATAGAGTCATAAACAGTGTGGGTTGGAAAGGATTCTGATCCAAGGGATCCTCTGGTTCCAACCCCACTGCTGTAGGCAGGGACACCCTCCACTAGACCAGGTTGCTCAGAGCCCCTGGTCTTAAACACTTCCAAGGATGAGGCATCTACAACTTTTCTGGGCAACTTAAGCCTGTGCCTCACCACCCTGAAAGCAAACAATTTCTTCCTAATACCCAACCTAAACCTACTCTTAGTTTGAAGCCATTTGCCTTTATCCTTTCACTACATGCCCTTGTAAAAAGTCCCTCTCCAGCTCTCTTGCAGGGTCCCTCTGGGAACTGGAAGGTCACAATTAGGATACCCCTAAGCCTTTTCCAGGCTTCCATTCCATTTCCAGAAGCTGAAACTAAAACTTTCTAGGTAAATGAGCCTTCTTAGACTGAACATTAATACAGTGCCCTGAAATATAAAGCAATCAGGAAACCCTGTCTGATATCAGGCAGTCTGGTATCTGTATTTTATAGGCTTAGTCTGAGAGAGCAGCTGAGTGATGAACGGTTCACATGTTCCATGTTTGTCATGGTACCTGTTGCACTACAGTATTTAGCTTTGTGCTCAATTTTGACCTTTTGGAAGTGCTTGGTCACATCAGCTGATTTAAAACCAACTTTAAATCATGGATGCAAGATGGTGAGTTCTAGAGTTGAAAAGTGAGAATTAACCAAAATATATTTTTAGGAGCTTGCACAGGTATCCAGACTGATAAGTCAAATTTGGTGAGTCAAAATGCAGATGCAGTCAAGGAATGCATACAAAAGGCCACGTGTAGCACAAGGCGAGTCTGATAAGCCTAATGCTAGTTGGAAAAATAACCATATTCAAATTGAGCCAAGTGACTACAAGGTCCATACAGAGCAGGAGAGCAAATGAAGTCTTGAGGGACTGAAGGAGTAGACAGAAGCAATGAAAGGGGAGTTACTTTCTTCACAGTATTTTTCTTAAGTGAGCCAAAGATCGAGTGAAACCTCGAGAAGGGAAAAGAAGAACACTGGGAGTACTTTCTGAAAGAGAAAATGCTCAGGGCTTTCCTGTTCCCTGTGAAGAAGGTAGAGGGCAGTCGGATCCTTGCGGGAGGAACAAGGATGCAGCTTCCCCAAGGCCGGCAGTTCCGTGGGCGGCGCTGCTCTTGGCCCCGAGCCACTCCTGCCTCCAGTGCCCGGGACAGGCGAGAACAGCCCTGCACGCACCAAAACCTTCCTGCAGGACAAAGGCTGCACCTTTGCCCTGCTGTTCAGATAACCAGCAAAACAAAATACCTCTGTAACACCGCCCCTGAGCATGGAGAAAAGAAATGGCAGTCAGTAAATCACAGCTTCTTCATTTGGAAAGAAATTGCTTTTACAAATCCGATCATTCTAACACCATTTCTTTAAAGGCTACAATTACACTCACTTGGTCCTTTCTCTCCCCTTCCTTCACCTTTTTAAATACACTTTCTCAACAGCAGTCAAGAATTGTGGCCTGTGTAGAAACAACCAAACAAGTATAGAGGTCAGAAAGCAAGACTTCTCCTGTCACAAAACAGCATTCAACAAAACACAGCAAAGCCCTGGTTTTGGAACTACTTTATCTTGATCTCCTTTGCCGATTCATCAAGTTGGCTAACATCAACTTTATTCCAGCACCTCAGTAGTTGAAAAACATTTAAAAACTAAGGGCAACCAGCATTTGTATTAGGATATTCAGCTGTTTATGCCTCACAAGATAAACTAGTTGCATGTGACAGCAGCAGGTAGAATAAGGCAGCACATGCACACTTCCAGTAGTCATGTACTGCGTGCTTACAACTCCAAGAGGAAGAAAACAATGAAAACCTAAACCATAGCTAAAGGTAAAAGGCATGAACAGCTGAAAGCCTTATCCAAAGATGTCCCAAGTGGTATAAACAGGCCCTGTTCCTGTAATCAACAATAGCAGGGTTTGTTGCAGTGGTTTTGGCAGAGCTTAATCTCTTGCTATAAACACTCCTGGTTTCACAGCTGCACCAACTTGAAAATGAAAACTGAATCAAGTCACATGTTGTTTTCTCCTCCAACATAGGCTCAGAACAATGGTAATCATGTAAAGAAAAAAAACTTTGGACAAACCAGACTGGAAATTTAGACTATTTCAGGATGGTGTCAAGTGTGTCTTTAGCTCACATAATAGCACCAAGTACTGCCCTGCTTCAGCTTCCCCTTCAAGTTGAACACGACTCTGAACATCACTGCTTTCATGAACGGACCTCAAGACCAAGTTCTGGTAAGATTTCAGGCTGCTACCATGTAAAACCCCACCACATGCCTGTTTAGACAGTCACAGTAAATATACAGTTTTGTGAGTTAAGGTTTATCCGAAACCATCAGAGAACAAGCACAGAATTGAGATCAGCTCTGTTACAGAAGGCACAGGGCTGGAAACCCTGCTGACCTCCTTTAAGCACCACTGTGGCTTACCCATTTTCAATCCATCCTGACTATGTCAAGGAGAAGACTGACAGAAAGTGGGAGATGTGAGAATACATACATAGAACACACGGCAATGGCACAATCCAAAACCTGTTTAATTACAGACACCACTGACTTTTGTGCACTTTGTTTTTGTTCCTCAGCTCCCATTAACTACATGGGAATCTGGGTCAAGAGAGGTCAGGTTCACCTCTGTTTTCCCTTTAAAGCATCACGAACAGAACACTTTCCCATCACAAAGTTACTCTGAACATTCTGTGCATGTTTTATAGCAAACATAAAAAGAATTACCAAACCAACTGGTCAGATTATTAAAATAATATTCTTAGTGGTGTATTACAAAAAGAAATGTACAAGAATTCCTCCTAAATCAAACTACAATACTTAGCATTAATAAAAATACTTTCAAGAAGCACACTCTAATAATTTTGCCATTTTCCAGTTAAGACCGGTATCAGGAAACCTTAAGGCAAAACCTTTCTTTTTCCACAACACACACTCTTAACAGGTTCTCCCTAACATAATGCGCACACAACAGCACATCATCAATTTAAAAAAATATTTAATGCTGCCAAAAAGTATAAAAATACAATAAGAATGGCAGTACAAAACAAAATACTTCCTAATTTAGTTCTTTTACATCTTTCTACATTAATACACGCATTATAAAAACACAAGATGGCAAATTATTTCGTTTTGCAAAGTAGCACACGCTGCTGGTGGTCTTCATCCCCTCGGTGCAGTTTACGCTGTAAACAGATAACTGAGGTCTTCTTGGTACTTAACAGACCTCACTTTTTGTTCCCGAAGAGGGGGGGGTCATGTCTCGCTTTGCATGTCAATAATTTGCAGTTTATAGCTGCAGAATATTCACAAGTCTCCAAGGCTTAGGTGTCAGTCAGTCTCGGCCTGCGACATACAACCAAAAGAAAGTCACCGATTCAGTACAGAGTACGGGGATTAAAAACAACAACAAAAAAAAAAGAGCTAAGAACTGACAGGGGGTTTGCAGCTCACTGTCAACACCAAACAGCTTCTCATGTGTTCCCTGGAGCCACTACTGCCTCTGAGCAAGTACTCTTGGAAAGCCGTTGCTTTTCCAGAAGGTATTTCCATGTTACAGTATAAGGCACATCCTTGCTGGAGAGTTTCAAGTACAGCTCTCAGTCCAGCAAACCACTTCCTCCCACAAGTAACCACAAGCACTGCAGAAGTCTCCTTGGGCCTCAGAGGGACTAAGGCAGGCTGCATCTCAAAACACATCACCTCTCACAGCTTTGGAGACCAATCCTGCTACAGCGGCTCGAAAGTAACTGTTTCTAGGCAAAGATTTCCTGTAGTGAGAAAGACACCCCAGCACTGGACATGGTATTTTTAGGCAAAGGGAAGGCTCTACTCTGAGAGTCTACAGAAAGAGACCTTGGTGTTCACAGCACCACACCCCCAAGCTACTACACGTACAATACGTCTGAGTTCTGCAAGCACTACACTGATGCATAAATCAGCTTTCCTCCACCAGTTACGACACATTGAAATAGGGCTTCCAAGTATTTATCCTTCCAATTTAAATAAAGACTCAGACAGAGATGCAATTTTGAACACATTTATTTTTTGTACATAAAAATGAAAGACTGACTTTAAAACTTGGGGGCAAACAAAAAGGCCCAGGAAGACTACTGTGTGTCACATCACCTTTGCAAATACCGTCCTCTAGCTTAAGCCTCCCGGCCCTGCAGAAGACTTCCTCTTTTGTCATTGTTAATTTAGTTTCTCGTGCAGTCCTCAAGTGTCTCAGGTTTTACTATAATGCCAAACAGCAAACTAAATAATTTGGTTTACATTCATTAAACATAAAGCTAACCAGGCTTTTTCATCGCCTGCATGATCCAGTCACACATACATGCATACACATTTACGCCTCTTCCCTTTTCAGGGGGACATAAACTGATGTCAGTAAACCATATTACTCGAGGTTTAACAGAATAAGCCACATTTCACTGGCAACATCTCACTTCCATAACAAATCCAGAGGTTTTTTCCAAATTGCTATTTCACACTGAATTAAATTATTTTACTTAATACATTTCAAAGAAAATACAGATGTACCGTCACTAAGTGGACTGTCCCTGCACCAAGAACATAAATAGGAAACCTAGAGGATTAATTCCAATCTTGCAAATCCCTTGCAGCGGAGGTCCAAATGTTTGCTAGGTATTTTCTTTATGAAAACGTGTATGATTTGTGCACAAGTGTTCATCTGAGAGCCAAAGGTTTAATCAGAGATGCCCACTATGCATCAAATATTTTGAGTGACGCATTTCCAGAAAAGAGGGGGAAAACCAACACCAACCAAACCAAAACCAATTTTGAATCAAGCCAAACGACATTTTAGAAGTAGCACGGGACCAGGCAGCAGTTTGCCAGAACTCAAGGAGGGGGAGAGGAGAGGGGTCAGAAGGCATGTCCTTCCATTTCACCCCTTAAGCATTTCCTATGATAGAGATGACTGGGATTGACAGTTCTTCATTTTGGCCCATATTTGTTCCTATTTAACATCCAAGCTGTGTAAAAATGTGGCAAATTTAAATCCTCCAGAATAACAAAGTATCACAAGGGCTTAGTGTGCAGCAAGGAAAACAATCCTCCAGATTTTGGGTTTTAAGGATTAGTGATGGACCAGAAAGAAGATTTTTATCCAAATAATTTCCTGGAATGTAAAAGGAGACCAATAATTTGATTTTCCTTACTATTCTCAGACTATCATGAACAATTCACTGTTCAAAATAGTTTTGTCCAAGGCTTGTACTGGTTCATCCTCCTTAAATTATTAACATTTAAGACTCCCAAGGTACTTGCAATCACAGAACCAAACTTTTACAGAACAACTGCTGAATGTGCAAGTCCTGCTTTATTGCATCAAGAAGGTAACAGAGTATGAGGTGATCTGAATTGGCTGCCCCCTGCCCTGCCCCACCCTGAACTGAGGAATGCTTACTCAGGATCAAGAAAACTGAAAAGCCAGAATTTAGAAGATGGAATCAGGAAAAAAAAAAATCAAGTGACAACTTGACAAGCTGCAGTTAGAGCTCAGTGCCTGTAGGATACTGGTAGCCCAGGAAATCCTCCTCATGCCAAAAGAAGGGCAATAAATAACAGTGTGGTATCAGTCCAAGTTTTGCCTGCACTTTTTCCTTAGCTGCTTTTAAGTATCTAGAATAAAATCTGGAATATTTCTGTTACAAAAGCATTTAAATTACATTCCATGTATTTTTCCATAACCAAAATATCTTTGTAAGGCACATACATTTACACCTACTATCAGTTACAGCTGATACTGAAAAACCTATCCTCAACTTAAAGGAAAAAAATGATCTTTTTACAGTCTTCTTGCTGGCTAAAAGTTACTGTGGTTGTAAAAATTCTGAAATGTCTTCAAATACATGAGCTGCCTGCCTGTGCTATGTCCCAGCAGTCATTTTGCTATTCAAGCTGCACAGTTGGTCAGCAATGCCATGGAACAAATTGTCTTGTTCTAGTGACGCACAACTTCCCAAATCCAGTACTCCATGAAACGACACTTGTTTTCCTCATCTGGACCCTTCAGCATTTGTTTACTATACAAACAGCGTAGTCCAGAATAGTATTTAGCTATTGCAAAATGAGAATTTTAAAGAGTAAACTGTACTTAGCTTTGTGTAGCAAATGTCAGAGTAACTGGGCCCCATGCCTCGTATGTGACTACCAAGCTTGGACATACTGGAAAACTTTGAAGTCAATTCCTTTGAATAAGGAGCAAATAATCATCCAGCTATTTGAGTATTTTTCAGCAGTAAATCCAAGAAGTGCTTTACAAAATGGGGGAGGGGAATGGAAGAAAACCCCCAAGACCCCACACCCAAGAGAAAACACCAAGCTTAGAAAACAGAAGGAGAAAACATAACTTCTCTGAAGTTACCCAACAAGGCAATGCTTGAATAAATAAAATTCCCGTTTCAAAGTACAATCCAATCCTACAAATTACTATATCCTAGCTTGAACAACAAGCTACATTCAGCCATATACCATTTCTGTATTCAAAGGTAATTTAAAGAGCAGAAAGTGGTTTGTGTTGAATTGCTATTTAGAAAGTGTTACTACTCAAGTAATGGAAAGGGAGTGCTCAAAAATTTTAAATGGCCTGTAGCACAGATACTCCCAAAGTATTAGTCTTTAAGCGTTTTACTAGCATGTCTAATACAGTGCTGGGGAATCTGAAAAGCAGTTCTAGACTTTGTGAAGCTAACAAAGTGGCTCATAGAGCTGAAAACACTGCGTATGGCAGAACACTACCAACATTTCTTTTCTATTAGAGCCACCCTTGGAAGTTCAACTACCGTTTCCTTTGATGTGTTTTCTACAACTATTACTGATTAATTAATTTTATTCATTCTAGCAATTAAAATCTGTAGACACACAAAACATTATGTTTTACATTTAACGGAATGTCAGAACTTGAACAATGTTGGCCTGCAAACAGTAGCTGAAGTCTGAATACATTAATCAACAGTATGACTTTCAGTGGGGGCTAAGTTCTCAAAAGCCTTAAAAAAAATTGCAAGTCTTAAATAATGAAAACTACAAAAAATAAATAAGGAATGCAAATTAACAGAGTAGAAACTGGCAAGTGCTTCATCAGACCCCTAGCTGCTCATTTCAAACAGGAGACTCAAATGTGGGGAATAGCTGCACTATTCTTTTCATGCACAAATTATAATTACATTTAGTTTCAAAATGAAATTATTTTGGTCAGAAATTTGTACAAACTGAGCTTTTAAAAGTACAGTGAACTACAAAAAGATTAAATATGCAATTATAAAATATATTTATCCTAGGTCGTAAGAATATAAAATGTTTATGTTCATGTCACTAGTACATTACACATTACACATATTTAAGGATAACTTCTTTGCATTAATAATGTAAATGATACAACACTGTTTATTGCTTATGTCAGGCATGTAAATTTAAATCCAGACAGCCTTCAGTAGCTAAACCTCTATGGTTCAGCATTTGTTCAAGATCTGGTAGAACACCATTTTAAAAAGTGTATAAACAGTTGCAGCAAGTTTGTACCTGCTCATATTAAACAAAAACCATCAATTCTGTGGGGGGCAGCGGTTCATTTTTCTAAGTACCTGCAGTGGAAAGTCCTGAGATGTCGACATGAGATCAAGTTTACATCACTTCTCTATTGTATGTAACAGTCTGTACCCATTCCAGGAATAAGGAATTTATGCTTAAAGTCACACCCCTACTCATTACCTTCCAGCAAAGTCAGCTGTTGGAGCAGTCACACTTACTGTTCACTTACAAGGAATGTTTTTGAAAATACATTTTCCAGGAAAAAAAAGCACCAACTAGAATCAGTGCACCAAACCCAATGAGAATACGTTTCCAGTATAACCACCTTTTTCTTTTTCTTTCAGTCTCATTTAGCTTCTGCTTCATCTGCTGCAGCTTCTGTGCTGTGTTTGCTCTTCTATCCTCCCGCAGTCGTTTTCGAATAGAACTTAAAAAGAAAAAAAGGTGAATCTTACACTGAAGAACATGAAAAAAGGCTATTATAATATTAAAACAAACCTCTTTCCAACACTCCCAATAGTTAACCCACCAGTAGCATATGGCAGCAGTATATAAAATCCAAACCAAGCAATCTTTTATTACGTTTTAACCGCCTTGATGTAGAGAGTTTCAGATAGTGAAGTCCCACGAGTAAGTAAATGACACATGTAAAGATGTACAGGGTACTTCATCTATGAGTTTGACAGAACAGAGTTAGTTAAATTATCTGAGCTGCGTCTTTCACCCCATCTGTGCCCCATTTGGTGGCTGAGATGTTTTGTGTGGAGGCTGCCTTTATACACAGTGCCAGGTACCACGTGCAAGTGTCACAGTATTTACACAGGTGCCTCCACTGCAGAGTTCACACCAGCCTCAAAGATACAGTGACTCCAACCCCTACTCATGGCTGCATGCAGGTTTAACAGTATTAATCTCAAAATGCAAACCAGATCTTGCTAAGGGACACACAATAAACCCAAGTTCTGTGTGTTAAACTAGCAGGATGACCTTGTAATTCTTGTCTCCAGAAGTGCCCTCACAATCTCTAAGACAGCATAACATAAAAACCAGCTTTGATTGAGCTCTAAAACACACCCCCATAGCCTCACACCTTCTGGTGAGGGGATCCTTCAAACAACTACAGAATTGCTGTCATTCTCTCTCAAAACACTCATGAAAACACATAAAGAAATTCATGGGGGCATTTGGTGAGCCAGGTGTTATTTTGGAATTCCAGCCTATCTACACTGAACTGCTGTGTCTCATCTCAGGCTGCAGCCCTTTGGGACAGACCCTGCCTTCTTTGGTGCACCACATGGCTCAGTTTGGCACAGCCCTGGCCCAGTTTCTGGATCTCTGGCTATGGATCAACATCTGGCAGCCCACACCTGAGAAGGCCCAAGTGACACAACACCTCCCAGCTGAGGCCTCAACACTCCTGAGAGAAAGGCATATTCACCTGACACAGCTAAACCACAGGAACCTACTCACAGCAGGTAGATTTAACATGAACAGAGGGTAATACATTGCTCCAATGGTACAATTTCAAACACTACACACAAGTGGTACGTGATAAAACTTTTGTGTTTCTGAGGAACCATGTAATTTTTGAAATGTAAGTTAGCATTTTACTTAAAATCAGTATGAAAGTATGCTGGACAATTTTAGGACCTCACACTTCACAGTGGAGTTCACTGACAATCTGTAAAGAAAATGCTTTCAAAGTGTGATGTCTAGCTGCTTCAGTTAGAGACACTCGCTTTTCTTCTCTTGACTTCTGAACAGTAAAACTGTATCACAAGGAATCACTGAGGTGGCATTTTTAAAATCATTAAATAAGACAGTCAAATACCACCTGTTCTCTCTTGCTACTGCAGAAAGATCTTGAATGTTTTTACAAAAAGAAAAGTAGCCTAATAATTCAGCATTTTGAGAGAGTGTATCTGCCTTTTTAAAGTTTCTTTATCTTGCCTACTTTTCAATGTTCCCATCTGTGATATCTTGAACCTTAGTGGGCAGGTCAGTGTTAATTTTCTCCATCTGATCATTGTTCTCCAGGCCTATGCTGTTCCCATTGTACTTCTCTGTGGTTAGTTTGGTTGGGTGTGGAGGAGACTGCTCGGAACTTGGCGCTTGGTCCTCCTTAGAGAGCTCCTTCCACCGTTTCTGAAAACAAGGAGAACACATTTCAAACATTTCCCTAATATTAAAGGGCCCCCTTGCCAAGATGTCTTCCAAAAGAACAGCCACTGAAGTAGATTAAAGCAACTACCAGATCAAGAAAAAAAAATTGCTAGATGAAGAAATAAAGTTAGGTCAAGATGTGTCTTCTCGAACCACCAATGATCCTTTTTTCTATTTTTCCAGGACTGTGCCACTGCAAAGGCATGGGGCCTCTACCTTTGGAGTTTGTACTGTCCACAGCAGCTTCACAATTAGGAAGCATCCTGTCTTATAAAATCCAGCACTTGCCATTTCCCTCTACTTGCTACAGGCCTATGCTGCGCTCTTACCTGTTACGGCTTCAAAATACAACAGGACCTTCTATACAAGAACTGCCTAAAAAGAGAGAACTGGGAAAATTTAACAAAGAGTTATCTGTGCCAGAGTCATGGCCTACTGTTTAACTTAGTGGCCCATTAGCCCAGAGATCTACTGCATCATAAAACAGTTATTCACATTATTTTGAGAAGTAATCTGAAATGAGATGGAAGAAAAAATGAAATTGGAAGTAAACCTGTTTTGCTAGATCTCTTTCCTAATGATAAATAGTTTGAAGGACTTGCTACAACAAAATTTCATGTAGGAAAGAACCCTAGAAAGTGCACAGAAAGGAAAAGAATCAGCCCTAAAAACCAATTGCTTCTTTTCTCACACAAATCAGCAAGTGCCTATAGATACATAGAACACCTTGTAGGGAAACAATCAGTTACTTTTAAAAGTCTATGATAAAGTAGATGAACTGAAAATTGAATCTTCTCAAAACAAGTAATAGACTCCTGTCCATGGAATGATTTCAAGACTGCTGGTCTAAACTAAATATCAAACTGAGAAAGTGATATAAAAAACCAGCTACTTATAAATGGACTGCTGGCAAAATGAGTTTTAACAATTAACTGACTCCTCCATTAAAAGTCAAAGTTGTGTTTGCACAGTTTACTACCTTCCAAAATCCAAGGTGACAGCAGAGATGAACGTTTGGCTAATGTTAAATAAGAGAGACTTTCAATAGCTTCAGGCCCTCTCCATAACTAGCAGAGAGAAGTGAATACTTCTCACACTCTGAAGAGTCAACCATTCCTTATGGAATAAAAATGACCCAGCTGACCTTGAAAGAGAAATATGCTTTTTTGAGCACTGCCAATTGATTTTCTGCACATAATGCCAAGGCCTAAAGAGAGAAGCATCAGGACAAATGCCTTGCACTGCAGGAACCACTGATTTAAGGAAGATCATTTGAAGAATCGTAACAAGAAAAAGAAAAGTAATGAAAAGTGTGCCCTCCTAGGCATTCTCTTACTATGAATAAATAACACACTTGAACATGACAAGCAGTATTCTGAGTTGACAATGCTCCCTTATACCCAGAAGTAAGAAAACTTGTGATCTAGACGGGTAAGTTTTGGAACCAGAGCTGCTCACTGTTAATGGAGCATTTTAAAAAAAGCAAAGCAGAAAAATATTACTAGACACAATACCTCATACCACCAGAAACAGCTTCCACAAAATGAAGAGACTAAACTGCTGTTAGCATTAGGATGAATCATGAAGCCTTCTAGACATATGACACAAGTATCAAACCAGCAGCACACTATCTAGGTGTTGATTAGCAGTTGTGTAAAATTATTTCTTTATATACAGCAAGTCAAGAAACATTTGTTAAAGAGAAGAATCAGACCACTACCAATACCATAAAGAAAGGAAATGTGCTTTAGCTTATCTGCTCTATTCATGATTTCAAGAAATCAACGAAATAAAAGAGCCCTAGCACATGAAAGCAGAATTAAATGTGTTTCAAAGCCTCTCCTCCCACTTCTCCCTCCCACCTAGGCCCAGCCACTTAATAAAGCTGTAAGCTGTTATGTCTGCAAGCTGCACTGATAAAACAGTGAGATTTGGTCATCTCTTTGCACCCAAAATCATTACACTTGGCTAGACTGTACTAACTGTAACACAAATTTTAAAGGCTATGAAGAAACAAGGCAACTTTACCAATACATATTATCTGTAGCATCAGGCAACTTACCTGCTAGGAAAATAGCAAAGAGATTCTAAAACAGATCCTTGCTATCTTCAAAGTGATACTGGGCATTATCCTCCCTTTTTAGTATTGAAAACATCAATTGAACCATTTTTTTTCTTTAAACATTTGGACAGACAAATTATTTTAATATTTTATCTAAGAGGGGACATATACACAGGGTTAAAAGTTTAGTTTGACAGAAAGCACTGAACAGATGCCCTTTCATACCTCCTAAGCATCTACTGAAAAAGGTTAATAATTTAAATCTCACAAAATTACATGTTTCAAAATAATCTGGAGCTTATTTTTTACTACTGTTGCAATCTGCTGTTCAAATACAGGGAGCTAAACATTACCTGTATAGTTGAATCCCCCATTATAAATTTTGCTCCTTCTATTACAGCCATATATGAAAATCTTAGTTGATCAGGAGTCTGAATAAGTCCCATTCGATATTTCCTCATATCCAGTAATACCTTCTTAATATCTACAGAAAATGTGTCTTTTTTCTCCATCTGTAAAGCAAGTTACATTGAAAGTGTCAGTGGTATATAAAAAATAATTACAAGTAAAAATTAGTCATAACATTCAATCTAAAAACTAATTTCTCCATATTATGCTTTGGGCACCAATGCTTCTGTTAGTTATAAGGAAGATTAACATCTCAAATTATTTCTAATTTGTTTTTGAAGGAAAAATGCAAACCATCTAATGAAAACTTACTATGAGCAAATCAAGGATCATGTATTGAACAAATAAATTAGTACCCTAACATTAAGTCTTAAAATTAAGACATATAGATATGCTCAATTTTATTCAGGCTTGTATTTGGACCTTGAAATAGGACTGTAAGAATCAGAGCTGTAAAGTAGTACTTCCCACTGCTTCCAAATAGAACAGCAATTCAGACTGACTGACTATGGCAGAAGTTTCCTTATGCAAAGCAGAACCCCAAACCCAAGCAAGGCACACGCCTATCCCCACATTAAGTTTCTTAAGTACAATTGCACAATTGTATCAAAATATAGCCCTATGTTTTTCAAAATGCATAAAACCAAAGAAAAACTGAAGCAAAAAAAAACAAAAAAACCCCAAAAAAGTAAGTTGAGAGGATCTAACTAAACCAGAAAATGTGTCTCTTGTAATTCAATTGAAATTCTATTTCAGTTAAACCTGTGCTGTCCTTTTCACTATTACCAAGCACAAAGAGAAAACTCTGTGCCTGGACTTGAAAGTCCAACAAAAATTTTGATTTATTTAAAATATTGTTTAACATTCAAGGTTCACTCATGTCATGAGCAATTATAGATATGCAGTTCACTATAAGCAACAATCTATACATCCATGTGGCACTGGAACTAGCTGCCAAGCCCCACCACCCAGAGGGCTGCACAGCAGGAGAAATTCTGCACCACCTTCCATTACACACTGCAGGAAAATTAGGAGCATGCTTGAGTTGTTGTCCTAGTTCAGATAACAATTTCCTGCATGCACAAGAAAAGGGCCCTGGAGAAAAAGACAGATTTAATCATCTCAATATATATTCACAAGCTTTTTTCATATGGAAAATACAACCAATCCTCAACCTTTTCTAAGCACATCTTACATAAAAGGAAAAGAATGTTTACAATTTACTTTCCAGAAAGCTTTGAGAATATGTAATTGTCCTGGGGTACTTCAAGAGGAATTTGCAAATGCATTTCAAGAGCTGTGTTTTTGCCATCAAAATATGTGAAGAAAAAAACCCATGATGTCTTAAATTAAAGTTTCCACTGGAATGTCATTAGCTTCAATGTTTTTAAAGCCTTCTGACCAAAAAGCCCATATTGGGAAGGTTGGCAGGGTGTCAGGACACGGGAAGGGGTGACAAAGAAAATGCAAACACTTACCAGAACAAGACAAGTATCTACTAATGAAAACGTGCCGGAACGTCCTATTCCCGCGCTGCAATGAACTACTGCAGGTCCGTGTTCGGGACTCAGTGAACCAGATTCTCTGACTTTAAACAGGAAGTTCAGGAATGAAGCTGGGGATTCAGGAACTCCAAAGTCTGGCCATGTAGTATAATGAAAATGAGAGATCATCCTGGACTCACCACTCTAGAAGTGAAAACAAACACTACAACTAGAAAGCATTCTTCTTTGGCTCAGTTAGCACATATTTCCCCAATCTCAATCAACAGCTCTTTTCTATTTTAAACCTCCCATTAACACAAACAACCCAGTAACTTGCTTCAAGCTGGATGACAACCAACAGTGCACGCTGAAGCAGTTTTATCTGAGTTGGTAATTTTTTCCTTTGTAATTATTACCACACACGGGGTTTTTCCCTTCTTCTCAAACTTCCAACATTCTGTTTGGTTTGCTTTACTACTTACTCCCAAATGTCTTTGTTTGTCTACCAATAATGCAGTTCAATCTCTGACAGCAGTTACTAGACAGCTAGAATTAATATGAGTGAAAAAACCCATGTCAGCATTGCACACACTCTGCATTCTTGCTTCAAGCAAGTTTTAATGCCAAGAGGTATTACATCTCCTTTATACTAACCACATTACTGAGAGGAGCAGGAAGCGTTCCTTCCTGGAAAAGGCTACAAAACCCATACAGAAGGATGTCTAGCAAGACTTCTGTTGGACATCTTCTATCTTTTTTAAGTAAAAAAGCAGGATTCCAAAATCATACAGCTGCTTTAGAAGCACTCTGTTAGAGTTCCTCTCCTAACACAACCAACTAACTGCAAGTACTGAAATGACAGCAAGAGAGTATGTATATGAAATTTGGATCACATTTTTACGGAACCCACTTCAGACTGTTAAATGCTACTCCTTGCCATGGTGATTCTGATTGTAGCTCAGGAATTTTATAAATGTTCAGTTATTTTTTTTTAATTTATTAATTCAGTTATTTAATTTTTAATTAATTAAGTTCTAATTTATTATTTCAGTTATTTAATTTTCCACATGGACTGACACCTACATAAACTTTGGCAACGTTTGAACACAAAAGGATTTAAAATCAATGTATTCCAGAAAAGTTGTTGTTCTTCTTCAGCAACAGTAAAATATAGCCATGAAATAAAATAAATTCTACTGTTCTTCATCTGCTCAGTCTGTTTCTACTTCTTATGAGAGACAACTTATGAAACTCCTTTATGAAATTAAAAGAATTCATTTCATAGTTTCTGCAGTAACAAAAATAAGTCTCTCAACTTGTCTATTGCCTTCAATGCCCAATACTGCAAGACTGCCAATACTTTCACAGAAAATAGTAGATATTAACATGAGTCCAGTCACTCTAAGATGCACAGCTATCTTCCAGAAATATTTTGTCCCATGATTTTCCATCCCTTCAGCTCATTCTAGAAATACCTAGTCTCTTCATGTCTCTACGAGAGTCCCATTGCAAGGCACTGGAACCAGCTGGTCATCTTTGAATTGGCAGTCTCTAATCCTACAGTCAAATCCCATTTGAGTATTTCAAACCTCCCACACTGCTCTCTTAAACAGAATGGCTCTTTCAAGTGGTGCTTGGCAGCCAAGCTGTACAGCTGAACCACTGCCTTTGTGAGGATCTGTACCACCCTTTCTTAAACAACTCCCAGTCACTGAGCCATGCAGCACTTACATGAAGTGACGTGGGACTGTTACGAGAAGAGGTCTGGCTTTTTGATTCACAACTGTTGATGGACAAAAAGTCAAATTTAAATAACAACTAATTTAATTTGAAGTGTTACCAGGAAACTAGCTAATCTTTTCAAATAAAAACCCCTGGGCTTCAAGACTCAGGCAGCACTATAAAATTTTACATGTGATATACAAGGGATATAACATAGAAATATTATATATTTCTGCATGGTAACTGAAAACCAGCTAGTTCTATGGTAACCACAATGCAATTTTCCAACATTTATTCCCTAAAACTAGCTACCCAAAAAAAAAAAAAATCCTTGTATGACCATGGGACAGCACTTAAACTACTATTTTGACGATTTTGTTTTTTAAATTACTCTAACTGTGAAAGTTTTACTGGAATAAGCTTTCTATAAATAACCAAGATAGCTAAACCTGATGAACTCGTAAAGCAGACACCACACCGCACAGCTCAGCACTGACTGCTGGAAACATAATCAGTATAATCAAAAGATGATCAAAGGACAAGCTCCAAGTTACAGAGATCCACATGAGGACTCGAGCAGAAAAGGAACATCCCATTAGATTAACTTCCAGCAAAACAAGCCTTGCAGTGACTAGCCAATCAGTCAAAACAAAAAGGAGCAAAAATCTTGTAGAGTAACTTCAGGTTGTTCAGTCACATTGGAGTTTGAACATAAATAAAACACTACAAAAATTCTCAAAGGTTAAGTTGGTGCCTTCATCAGAGTCAAGTAAAACAGGGGGGGACAAAACAATACTGGTCTGCCAAGCTTCACACACTGCTTATAAAAGCCATGATCAAAGTGCTACTGAAATGGTCAAATATATGGAGACACTAAACACCTACAACCCTACAGTGGTTCCATATTTAATGTACATGCTTAAGTTCATTAACAACTAATTTGATCATATAAAAATGAAAAGGCATCCTATAATGGCAATATTCTACAAACTGAAATTCAAAATCAACTTCTACCAGAGCCTCCTCTGTTTGCTCATTCATGATGGCCAAAATGCTTTCCAAAATTTAAATAAAAATGGCCTTGAGGGCAAGGGGGCCAAATAATTATCAGAAACATTCTGGTTCATCCACAGGATCAGCTAGTGAGGGCTGCTGAGCAGCCTTGCATTACCTTAATCTGACAGTCACAGCCACACAGAAGCTTGGTACTAAGGGGAGAATCTGTTTTACTAATGGGTTTTTCCAAATATTTGCTATTTGTGAAGGACTCAAGATTCCACTTCAGATTTATTAATGGTACTTACTCTGAACTATCACACCACCAGTGTCACATCAAATTTAGTTCCTATCTCCTAGTCCTTTCTTCATCAACAAGTATTTTATTTGCAAACCTCTCCTTCTACTGCTGTATTCTTACTTCCAGAAACCCAGTCTCAGATACGTTCACAGAAAGGTTCCTTCTGTAATTTCAAATTTCACTGCTCTGTTTTCTTACCCAAGCAATCCCTGGCTTCCCTGAAGATCTGATGCTCATTTGCCCTTGCAAAGTTTGTCTGAATTCCCCTGTACCAGTGTAGTAGCTTTGCTTAAAAGCATTTGTTATGTGTCACATTGTATCCTTCTCAGGATATCTGGGTTGCCCCACCAGAAATTACTGAAAACAAAATTTTCTTCCTCTAAAGACCAATACATAAAGTTGTGACATTAAGGAATAAAAAAGCTAAAGGCAACAATTAAAAATAATATAAAAAAGCATATTCAACACAAGGTGGAGTCTTTCCCAAGTTATATGTTAAGATCTAACAATTCTCCTGCAACATTTTGCAAAGGTTATTTTATATATTTAATAAGCTCTCATACACTTTGCTATCACTTCTCCAATAAGCTGGGAGACATTGCTTCAAATCATAGCCATTCAACAGCTTCACAGATCAATGATTACAAAATTTTAACATGAGCACAGTATCTTCCTTCTCCCTTTATTTTCCAAGAGGCACTGGTTGGTTGGAAAAACACCATTTTCTCTCCATTTTCTCTGTGCTAGCCTCAAGAACAAAATTTTCCTAGAACAGATATATAAGAAAAAAATCAAACTAACAAATAACCTGATACAATCCTGAAAAAGAACAGCCCCAAATCCCACCTGTATTTCTAAGTAATCTTTAACACAAGCAACAAAACCAATCAGAGATTGTTTCATTGGTAACAACATAAACACTTTACTCTTCATATACCCATATTTTGTTTATGTCTTAAAGAGATTTGCTGCAGTAAGACAAACTAAATTGAGCTCAGAATGCCTGCATTATAAAGATGACCTTGGTTGTCTCTGTTTTCAAGGAAATACTAAATTTTAAGTATTCTTGGCATGCAGAGTCTATTTTGTTCATGAGTCATCCTATATTCCAGGCATTGAGTGGCTAAATGTCTTACACTCTGCCTCCACCAAAGGCCCCTGCAGAATAACTTACATAAACACAGCTAAGCTCACATTTCAAGTTACTGTGAATGCTCAGTTCCCACAAGTTTTATGGTATAATTATCAAATTCTTACAAAAGGCTGCATATAACACTGACAGTGTTAGACTAGAAACTATGCAGCTTTTTTTCATTTGAGTAACCAAGTATGTTCTGCTTCTTTTACAAAAATTATGCGTTGGAGTTAATATTGACGGAGCCTTACCAGAGTACTACAGATATAAAATAAAAATTCATTACAGAAAGACTGGTAAAACTGATTTATACGACTGTCCTGGGTTTGCCAGGACAACGACACACGAGAAACTCTGTGCAGTGCTGACAGGCCTGCACTGCTGGTCCAAAACAAACCCAGAAATTTAAGTGCTCAATAGCTCCAACTCAGAAGTCTACTACAGTATACTTTGCGCTGTTCCTTGAGGCATTTCTGCATTTTCCAGTTAATGTTATGTTCAAACGTAAACGTGTAAAGAAAATCGTATCCTTTGAAAATAGGAAGTTTAAAAGTAAGGGCCAACATCTGCCAAACAATTCCATGAAGAAGCCTTTTTGGTAGTTAGGAAAACTTGCATCAGCTTCCCAAAAGACAGAGTTGTTCTTTTTCAGCCACTAGCTAGCCGGCATTACTCATCTTTCTTTTGCCTTTGCTGTCAATAAACAAACTACTCAAGAGAAATTCTTCAGGTCAGCAGGACAAATATTTCATAAAGCTATTCTAACATGGAGAAGACCAAGCAAAAACATGCCAAGTTCAATCATGTTAATCACATGAGGGAACTTATGAACTAGTATTATCTCATAATGCCATCAATAGTTACTATAAATTCAAATATTTGGGAACAAATATATGAATAGTTGTATAAAACAACATGCAGAACATCTTCAAGCTCTCCTTTCCCAAGTTCTCTGACAACCTTGAAAACTTGCCACACTAGCACTTTCAATTAAAATAAGGCAAGATTTATAGGGAGAGAGAATATCTTACAAGACATAGCTGGAACAAACAGACAAGCTCTTCAATCCTGTCGTCCACTCTGAAACAGAAGCAGTAAATTCCAACCCAAGCTCAGGCCAGGAAGAATTTTTTTGAACTTAACTTGGTTAAATTGTCAAAGTGCTTAATTTTTTAAGAGAAAAGGGTGATTGGTCCTTTGGAGCAAAAGGGGAGGTAAACAAGAGGCGACAAAGTTACCTACCTACAGGTGGTAATCACTCCTCCCCCCAAAAACTTAAGACAGCTGGACTAAATTACATAGAAAACTCAAGTTCCAGTACAAAATCAGTAATTACTCAGTCAGGTATCTGATATTAAAAGGAAATCAGAATTTTCCACTCTTGTGTTCCACCCTTATGTTAATTCTTACAGCTCCTCTTAGAACTACCACTACCATCATTTAGAATTGAGCATGTCTAGGTACTGCTAAATGGAAAATACAAGTATACAAATGCCAAAGATGTTATCTCTCCTAATGTATAGACTGAGGTCTAAATCACTTGCTTATTTCCACACAAACATTTTCAACATTCTCAGAAGCAAAGTGCATTAAAATTTCCTGTGTAAAAGCTCACTCAAACCTGAAGTGACATCATGCTAAGTTGTTCTCATGATACACTTAAGGCCATGAACAGGAGCTGTACAGACTGAGAAAAGCTTACGTTGATATTTTCTAATTGCAGTAGATGTACTGTGTAATAGGATTTGATGTCTTCAGACACTAGTCTCACACGGAAACCTGTTTCACTGAATGTCATAACTTCTTCTTCTTTTGTTGGCCAGTATTGTGCACACTTCACCTAAGGATTTTTTTTAAAGAGAAAGAAAAAGAAGGGAAAAGAAAAAAAAGAAAATCCTTGTTAAATATCCTAGTATCTTAGGCTTTGCATGTGCAGATTCTGAGTTCACATTTTCAATACACTAGACTCAAATACCTGCTCCCACTTTGAGGAATTCCTGAAGTCCATAATGTTTACAGCCAAGTTACTACAACTGTTTCAGTGGCTATTATGCATTCCATTTCGATGTGTTTATGCTTTCTTCCATCACATGGCTAACAAGCTTTGAGGTACGTTTTAAGCCTTCCCTCTCCCCCCTCTAGGTTCTCTACAGGGAACTGAGATCTCTGCTCAGCTATTTCAGCATTTCCCCCTTTTGTTTCTGACTTGCACACCTGCAACATTTACAGAACTCATCTATCACACCCAGTTCTACCCAGGCTTACTGAATACTGGAAGGTTCTAGTGAAACAAAAGAATTAACTAACAAATCAATGCAAAACTATTCTTTGTCTTGTATTCCTCTTGCTCTGCACTGAAACCTTCTGTAGGAAAATTTTTGCAAAAGAAAATAGATGACTTTTTAACAGACCAGCCAAATTTTTTCATGAATCTGCATTGAATAAAAAACAAACCTCAAATGACATGCATTTATAACAAAAATCTGCAATGCTTTTAGGCACCATAGCAGAAAAACTACATCATAACAGAAGATCTGTGTATTCTGCACATATGCCACTGGTTCTGAAGAATCAAAAATAACTAGAACAATACAACAGTTCTTGGGCACCAGTCTGCCTTCATTGTTACAGCTAACATCCCTATGTAACAGATACACTACTCCGTTACATTTAGAAGAATTAATCTAAACATACTTTTTTTCCCACCTTCCATTTCATCCTGGGAACATCTTACACTGCCTCTACTCCTCACTGTCTGTACATCCTTTCTCAGAATGCTACTTTCACCTCTCAGGAGGTACATTTGTTAGATGCTCTTTTCACCAAACTGAACTGTATGTCTTAGCTCCCTCACTTCACTATCATATTAAATACACATTATAATGCACATCAGTGAGAACATCTGTTAGTTCTTCTAATGTAACAATCAAACATTGCACAACTGTATTCAAATTGTGTGGCATATTTTACAACTTTATGCCCAATGTCACTTACCGATTCTTTTTCAACAATCCTGTTCAACATGACAACTGCTTTGGTTTTTTGTTGCCATACCATTAGCCAAAAATGACAACATGTATTAGGTAGTGGACCCTGTGTAGTAAAAAATACGAAAATAGGCATGAGAATGTATAGGCAAAGCAGTGTTTGAGCACAGTTAACAGTTCACTGTGGGAAACAGGAAAGAGTCTTCCCCATAAGTTTAAACAACTTATTAATAGAATTATAGACATGGCAGGCAAGAAAGTAGCCACAGATCATTCCAGGACTTAAAAAGGCTGGGGTTTTTTTAAGGAAAAAAATACCAAACAAAACCAAACAAGAAAACAGTAAGAACTCTGGGAATGGATTTTCTGGTTTAAGCATCACTATTGTTGTGCTGTTAGAAGAAAAGCTACTGCAGGCACGCTCAGAAGGTACAAGATGGCTTAAGGGGTAGAAGTATTGTTGCAACATATTTACAAAAGAACTGAAGAAAAGTGCAAGAAGTATTTCAGAAGCTTCATATATGGTAAATTCCTCATACTTCAATATCCCCTTTAGCTTTTCTTAAAACATAAAATAATCTGTTAGCAACTACATCACATTGAGATATTGTACTTCATGTAATAATGATATACTTTTAATTCATGGAGACAAGAAACAATCCAAACAGAATGAGAACTGTACAAATCCCCCTCCCTAGATTCTCAATCCCTGTAATAAGCCAGTAATTGTACTGCTTACCTGTGTTAAAATATAATACCTCTGGGCTTCTTCTATGACCACTAGGCTGGCATTGATATAGTCATTCTCAGTGTTCTCGAGTTTTACACGACTGTGATCATCTAAAATTCAAAGAAAATTAAGAATTAATGACGCATCCATCTCAATGAATACTCTCTAACAGGCAAGTTTAGGTTTAGGACTAGTCTACAAGCAACCAGAACTAAATTCTGCTGTATGACCCAAACAGCAAACTACAAATAAAAGAGAAACTAATTTCTCAAATAACTTTGATAACTGTCCCATTCTCCCACTGGCATTCCATCAGAGTCATTTCAGACAGCTATTTAATAGAAACTGCTCAGAAAACTGGAATACCTATTTTTCTTTAAAAAAAACCCAAGAAAACAAAATTACCCTCCCACACAAGCCTAAAGGTCCTCACAATCATCCCTCAACAGTTACATTTCCTTAATACAACAGCACCACAACTCACACCAGACAGCACTGTCCTACCACACCAGATCACTCCACAGCATTATTTCCCAAGTTCATTATTTCCTAATTTCCAATCTTTTTGGTGAACTGAAGTTTCACCATGCCATAGAATCATAAAGTTAAGCTCACACAGCTAAAAAAAAACCCAGTAAAGTCTTCTTGCAGTAGTAATTCAAGCCAGGCTTGAATTTGATCAATTTCATTTTCCCTGTAAGATATTGTTTAATATTATACAACACAAAAAATACTAAAAAAGGCACATGCAAAACCAAAAATAGTCAACAAATCATCCAATTAAATGAAGCCTAATCTCACAACATGGTTTAATTTCAAAATTACACAAGCAAGACTGATGATTCCCCTTTTTATGGCAGAGGCAAGCAAAGGACTCTGTTTAAAATTCTACCATTAATATGAGGAAGATTATCATACTGTCAAACTAAAAAAATGCATAATAAAACGTCATTGTGGTTGCTTCTAGAACCTTCTGATATGTGATTTATAAACCTCAAGGAGGTTTATGAACCTCTAGGAGACATTTAGGTAATCAGACTAGTTCGCAGTAAGTAATCCTTCAGCCATTTATTGTCACTGTATTAAATAAACAGTACTTTCAGTTTAAAATTTGTACACAACAACATGCTGGAAAATGAGATTCAACTGACTGTAAACCTCCTGAAGCTCAACACCTAGCAGAATAAGAAGAGTAAATAAAAAATAGCAAAGTAAAATTACTTTAAGAAACTTCAACATATCTGAGGAAGAGATGGAAGAGATTCCATAAGGAAACTGACAGCAGAGTGAATTACGATGCAGTACCAGTTTTCACAACTAAATTCACCTAGTCTGACCCACAAAACTCAATCAGGGCCCAGACTGCTGTTAAAATGCCAGCCCACCCATCTTTGCACCAGAAGGCTCACAAACACTCTGGGAAACACAAAGAAATTAGCAACTACCAAGTATCAAATTCAGCACAACTGCAATAGATGAACTCACAGCCAGCCTGTGCAGCACAAGGCTTATCTCAGAAATCATGAATATAAACCTGGATAGGCAAAAAGCTGATGGCAATCAAAAAACAGTTACTGAATTAGACTCTTGTATGATTTAATATGAATACTTTCCATGTGTTTGGAAACATGGAAAAAGTACATTTACTAGGTCTGGATCTGCCTTTACATTCTCCCTCATCTATCTGCTATTGGCAACCACAGAAGATGATCTTGTTGGATTTGAGTAAAGAAGTCACCAATAAAGTAGAATTGTTTTGCTGCTGCTGAAGCACCCAAATTTGGGGTTGTTGCCCCACCTCCCTTAGCTCCTAGATTTTAAATGCAGTCACATACGAATGTGCAGAGAACAGAAAAATGCTGAAAATTTATTTTTTATGTAAAAGCATTAGAAAAACACTAGGTTAGTCTGTTTTCATTAGCATTCTAGCTGTAAGACAACACCATCTTAGTTTTCAGGAGTCTTAAAAGATTTATGATATCCCTGTGTGAAGAAAAAAAAAATATTATCAAAGCCAAGACACAGCAAAAGTAAGACACATGTGCATTTTAAAGTAAAATATATCTCTTTGTATTATTTTGCCAGGATAGGAAAGCATTACTTTTTCCTTTCATGTATCACTTTATCTGAAATGTTTCTACTGGAAAGAAACCAAGACCTCTGTAAATATTACATGTCATTTGCCAACAGGAAAAACTTAAGATCTTGTTATAGTAAATCACACATACCGGTACCAGTGTTCTCGGAAAGGTGACGCAAGCAAGCACTGTTAACAGTTTAATCACCCAGCGGCAGCTGCTGTACTGCTGCCAGGGACAAAGAGCTGCAGCCTCCTAGGAGGTTCCTACTTTAATCCTTACATTCTCACATTCATTTTTTCCCTTCTTATAAATTTTGCTTTGTAAACATGACAAATAAAGTTCTGCAAGTTGGTTTTTTTTTTTTAAGTTCCTTTAATAACTAATTCTATGTACAGCCAGCCTCCCTCTCCCTCCCCAACTAAAACAGAGGAGATCCTGCAAGTACTCTGGCAGACAGTCCACAGGACAAAAAAAAAACACACTAGAATATATTGATTTCTCTTCTTTCAAGGGATGAGGTTCTTAAAGGACACAATGACCTAGAAACCTCATTCAAATCCTGGCTTGCTCTTCTGAATTAACTGAAGCAAGCCAACTTTTGACAGTGAGTTAGCTGTAATGTATTTCCCGTATGTATATAATTTCCAGTTACAAAGTACCTAGATTTATATGAACGATAAACCTATCTTTAAGATTTAGCTTATGTGTTGCCATGCCCACAGCAGCTAAAATACAGTACTGCTTTTCTGAAGAGCTAATTCCCCTATTTCGACAAACTATGCAGCCTGAAAAGGAAGTGGAAACCTTTAAAATGATTCTCATTCTGGCTCCCGCACTGAGAAAAAACACTCCCAGAAAGACCCTATCTGAGTAAGCAAATTCTGATCACCCATTTCCAGTGGAACCCCGTCCCACTGACAACACTTCCCATGCATCAAATAATGCCAAAACTTCAGAACACTCATCAATCTGCTCACCTCCTGCTGAACAGAAAATGACAGATCCAGTTAAAATCAAGATACAAAATGTTTGGCATTTTACATCACGCAGTTCTTGCAGTTGATTAATGAAAGATTTTCATTATAAAACAATTTTTCTAGAACACTGTATAACTTCAAAATTATCTTTTATCCAAGAGATATGTCTGGTCCCCCAAATACAGAGCTATTAACAATAGAGGAAGGAGAAATGCTACTTAGTGGATTAAAGAAAGTCATAAATAAAACATGCAGCCACCGCAAGCCATCCTAGTGACCCTACCTAACCTTTCCCGCCTACCAACAAATCCCTTCCATTTCACTAATCTAAATCTAGTCTATCTGAGCTGCTAAATTATTAAAATTGCAATACCCTAGACTTCCAGTCTCAAGTTTCAGAGGTAGCTTAAGGCAAAGGAAAGACAAAATGACTGTTCCTCACCACCCTGTCACTGGTTGTACACAACGAATGCCATCGTATCAGTCATGGCCTAGCTCACCACTGAAACGTATTCATACCGAAATATACATGTCACTACTGCATGGCATCCTTACAATTGTAAGCAGGATTACAAGAAAAAATCTTAAGGTACATTAAAGTTTATATCAGCATGTCCTATACAATTCTCCTCTTCCCCAACCTCAAAGGAAGAAATATCTCCAAACTCAACAGCACCTCGAGTTTGTTTTGCAATGTTTCACGTGGTAAGACGTTTTAGAGAATCATTAGGTAACGTCATAAAAATCACCAATGTCAGCTTCTAATACTTCAAGAAATGCAGCAGGCTTATTCTGGGCTGAACATCTCCCTGTTCTCAGCACATACACTTGAAGCACAGGACACAAAGGGAACAAACATGCCTGCAGTGACAATTAATCAGCACCAACTCTGTTCCCTGTAAAACACAATTCTCTTCATTTTCCTCTCCTGTACTCCATGCCAACTGTAAGCCTATGGTTGAAAGATCTGACACAAAATCTACTCAAGGCCACAGGAAGAAAACATGAGAAATCACTACCTTGCAAGATCTTCCAAAAGCAACACGATCTATCAGCAAAAATGCTCAGATGACCCAGGTTCTTCAGCAACACACCATATTACAAAGGAAGGCTGAAGAGAAAATTGTGTAAACCCCCATCTACCCTTCAAAAACAAAAAAAAATCCTGCCAATTTTGCTGAGGGGATTTCCTTCTTGCCTGTAAATCTGGGACCTCAGCTCTAAAGGTCTTTACAGTCAATCTGAGATACTAGACTCCTCTGATAAGAACTAAGGTTAAGATTTAGAAGCAAAGTTAATTACAGAAATCTTTGGAGTTTCATTAAAATTATTAATAAAGAACAACAACCTCACAAGTTACTTTCCTCTGTTAACAACGTTTTCTGAGAAATGGTTTCATCTGTCCGGAAATGACTGGCTGTCAAACCAAACCTATTTCAGATTAACTTCCTGTTTCAGTACTATGAAGCCAAAATACTCCTCTGCCTATTCTAGACTAATACCAAACTATTAGACGACTATTTTTTTTTCATCTAGGCAGCAATTTTTGAGGGCTTTTACCAAACCAAACTTACATATGCTACAGATCTTTAGCCAACAAAAACGGACACTAACAAAAATACTTATGAAACGGGAAACAGCGTGAAACTCAACCGTGATGGGCAGAGATGCTCAGCCTTTCTCAGCAAACAGAAATCCATTTTTATCTAGAAATGCATGTAACAGACACAAGTTTGTTTCAGTGTACTTGTCCAAGGTATCACAGTTGAAATGGGGCAAACCAACCCAAAATGTTTTTTCCTGGACTTGTAATTGACATATTTCCCGTAAAATTGAACAACCTTTGCACTTCCTCTTGCAGACACACCACCTCAGATGTTAGACGGGCTTGGCAGCTACCAAGGTTAACAAACCATTTTCTCATTGCTTTTGGAGAAATAAAACTCTTTCTTTAAATTATGTCTTTCAGTATGATTAAGTAGCCAGATCTTAAAAGTCCAGCAGCTGGTTCTGAAGGCCTTTGGCTATTTGAGAATATTAGTACCACCCGTTTTTCATCTAAACACTGTTAAAAAGCAGCAAAATTCACAAAGTGAAGGACTGAGACATCAAGATTGTGTGAGACTGAACTGTCTCGCATTTCTGCAATTCCAAGTCCTTGCATACATGCACCACAATTAGATGTGTTCACCACAGTTATCAAACCATGCAGCTTTTATCCCAGCTGCTTTGAAATTTAGGCACTGCTACCTTGAAATCTTATTTATCATACACTCCCCTTCCAGGCCTCTTTCTGCTCCTGACTCTCATCGTTCTCACTGATGCAACTGAGTCATATTTAAAAATACAGAAGTGAAATTCAGGAGGAATTAGCTAGTTCAAATACAGTGTTTTGCTCTGTTCTCCTGGTACAGCTTTGTTCCCAGTGCCCAGTTCTGCAAGCTATCTATATAGGTGGACCAATTCAAACCATCCTTCTTTCATAAATGCTAGAAACGGACACATTATTCATAAAATTCAGCATCTTATTCAGTTCATTCATCATGTAATAATCTATGTCAGAGTGTAACAGAAAAGCTCTAGCTTTTTCCTAAGCCAAACCACTACTTCAATACTAGATTTTATCTGTCTTTCTGCTTTTGCAGAAATTAATGCAAAATTAATTAATTTCCTGGGTCCAGAAATTAATACAATCATTTGTATTTTTTCTACTGGCTAAACATGCATTTCAGAAGCAGGTTTTACCATGACTAAAGCAAAAGCGTTTGATGTTCCTCACTACTGTAAAAGGCCTGCCATGATTAAGAAAAATACTGAGCTCCACATAACTGCAGGAGATGAATACAAGTCACATCCGTAAGGTATTACTGGAGGCATTATTAGATATTACTTAAATAATACCATATATTTTTATTTATTTTAAAAACACTATTTTTAAAAAGAAAAAAGCACAAACAGTTTGAAAGTATATTTTCACTCTCTACATAAATTACAGTCACGTATGGGAGAAACAGTAGATAAATGCACAGATACAGTGTCTGACATGGAAATTGCGGAGGATGTTAGACCCAGGACTAGAACCTAGGACTTCTGGGCTCACATCTTCCTTTCAACCCTCTCATCTCAAACCCCCATTGCAACTTAGGCATGAAACAGAAATTGAATAAAACATCTCTTTCAGCCCTGGTAAGACGCCAATGCTGCGCTGCAGCAGGACGGCAAAGCTGGGACACCCAAGTGCCTCTGCGCAGACCAACACGTGTCCACCAGAGGCCTGGCTCCATTTCCTGAGCCTGTGGTGAAAGTCAGTCAGCCTTGCCTCACCTGAGGTATCTTCCCAGCGCTGCACACTCCTCCAGTGCACTGAATTCCTAGGCTGAGTTCCATCAGCGTGTGTGGGAAATGGATTTATAGAAAATTTCAGGGGGGGTTCAGCACCACGCCAGACCGGACCCATTTGGTACGAATTCACTGTGCCACTGGAGCATCCTGGCAGCAGCCTAAGGAGCAGCACTGCATCTGACCAGTGTGACTCAATCCAAGACCCTTTCTGTGCCATTTTGAGAAGTGCTATGCACATGCTGTCACCACAACTTTCAACTGGAAACAAGGAGCTCAGCACTTCTCCAAATCTCAGAATAGGTATTCAGAGCAGGCTCTCAAGCAAAAAGCCCCAGTATACCAGCAACCCTCCAAAAACTCTAGATCCAGTAACAAGGTGGTTTTTTAGGATCCTTCAGTATTCTGGGAAACTTTATAAGGAACACATAAACATGTTATCTGTCCCAACTTTAATATACTGGAAAAAAATTAAAGCGGTATCATTTTTCCCCCTTATCTGTAGCTCACATATCTTTTTGCAGTAATTTTGGCTTATAATTTCTGAAGTAAAATGCTAATGAAAAGAAGGCCACAGCATCTCTGTAGCAGAGAAGCTGGTCTAAAAAAAGTTTTTTTTTCATGTGAGACATAAGATCATTATGTCAAAAAGACCATTTTATGGCAATTAGCAGTAGTAAAAAGCACTCCACACCTTATTTACTATACGAGCAAAACCAACAAAATTTCAAGCATTTTTTAAAGTAACAGTAGAAATTGAGTGGTATTTATCCACACCACCTTAAAAATGTGCAGAATCCCTCAGTTCAAAAGGAAAACATTTCTTTTAGTCAAGGTGTACTAACTTAACCTCTATACTCATTTTTTACAACAGATAAAGCACTATTAAACAAATAATTTCCCCATGAGAAAAACACCTCTAAAACATTACTCTGCAGCTCACAAAAATTTACCTATACACTAATATCTGTGATTTGCAACCATCTCTCATCCACCATTCAGCACAATGAGCTTAACATGCAGAGTCTTCTCCCTCCCGTCAAACACATTTGTGTATGTGTTACCAAAAATCCCATTTACGTTTATCAGAGGATACATACCTACAGAAATAAACAAAATGCCAAACGTGCAATGACCTTGATTTATCACCTCCAGCATTGACAGGATAAGAGAAGGTCTAATAAGTTTAGTTGCAATGATTGCAGAAAAGATACTCACATGGACTAACGTCTCTGTATCTGTTTCGATTTCTGTTTTCCGGATATTTTGCAACTCTGTGAGGGTAATCACTGGATTTATGTCGGATTTCCTTAAAAAGACAAAATAAATAATTGACTTATAGCCAGCAACCTGATTAATATTCTACACATACTATTAATTAAGCAATATTACTAATAACTAACATTTTTTAAACCAAGTTTTACTGCCCCTAGTGTCATTTTCACTCAGAAGATGCATTTCATTCATGGCCGAAGTGCTACCATTTAGATCTTCCTACATTTGGCTAAAATACCAAACGTAAGCACCGTTTGATGAGCAACTGATGCATCAGGAACCAAGGGCAAAAAAAAACCCTAATCCCAGATATTTATTATGCTTACAGTTTACCTCAGAGCTGCACATTATCCCCCAAAGCAGTAAGGGACTCAGATGCAACAGCAGTATTCTGCTGGCTCCTTTAAAGCAATTGGCAGCATAAAACCCCACAAACTTAAGTGAGCCAGTTAAGGGTTTTATGGCTACTGTTAAGGGCCATAGGATTATTTTTGGTGGTTTGATGGCTCATCCCATACAGCTGTAGTTAAATGTGAACCAATATAAGAATTCTGGAGTCCCAAGTATCAATGTGAATCAAAGCCTGTTCTCCCCACGCATTAACACAAACCTTCTAACAATCTATGAGATAGTCAGACTCACACACTATTTTAAGGACCCGACTGTTCACACGTTCTGAATGTTCTGCTTTATTGATTTCTTCCCTGAGGGCACCTTTTCTAAGACTTCACTAAGATATACAGAATTACCTTATGTAGAAAACTGAAAATGGCCTTCAGTGTATTCCACTCCATATTTATAGCTCTGCACTGATGCCATCTCGGCAGAAATGTTGCACAGTACAGAATTAACAATATTTTACTTTGAATTCTCCTTCTGTTTTTAGATTATGTTGCTACATTTGATTATTATGTCCCAAAGAGCATTTAAACTTATTACAACTGAGCATTCTTTGGTCTTCTCAATGTTCCCACTATCTTTGTCTTCAAACTTCCTAAATAGTCTAGTCTATTCCCAGACAATGAACACAGGCAGAAAGGGCATCAGCGGAAATATAACGTACAAAAGAAAGCTCCAATTTTTAGCACTGGTTGCATGACCTTTCTTAAAAATGCACTGCCAATCTGCAAGGAACATAAATCACAATGTGGAGCAGCAACTGGCAAGCACCAATACTCCACATATTTGTATAAAAACCTCTTGATCTATTAGGCTTTTTATTTTGATACAGACACTGGTACTTCTCTTGTTTACACGGCTGACAAGCTTTGGGAACTTGCTCGTGGAACAAATGGATCTGGCAGGCATCCACATCCAAGTTTCCATGAAAGGTAAATTTTGTATTACTCAGTAACAGGATGCAACATATTTTGTTTCTTAAAGCACCTGAACCATCAGTGCACAGAAAAATACCCATGTTTTGGTAAAGAAACATTAAAATTGCTAGAAACACTTCTACAGTGATGGTGTGGCAGGGTAGGCTTGCTAAAAAGAATTAAACTTAAAGAAATTTAATGACTAATTCAGAAATCAGTTTTCCCACATAATATCCAGCCATCACGCAGAATCACAGCACATCCTGACCTGGAAGGGACCCATGAAGACCATCAAGTCCAATTCTTGACTCTGCACAGAATAACCCAAAGAAGCACCATGTGCCTGAAAGCACTATCCAAGCCCTTCCTGAACTCCAGCAGGCTTGGTGCTAGATCCTACTTATTTGTAATACAGATATATACAAAACTGCAACATCTGAAATATTACAGTAGAGATACTCTATTCGAATAATCTATAAATCAAATAAATTATTAATTTAACAGAGAATAAGCATAATTTGAAGTCAGTAAAGAAAACTTTGGGGTTCAGTTCTCTTTCCTCATTTGTGAAATAGTGCTATAAAATGCTGTGGGCTTAAATAACTGCTCTAGTGACACCAGCTGATACATAATGCCCGTTTTATGGAACTGACTGTTCTCGGAAGTTCTTAATCTCGTTAAAAAAAATTGCAAATACTGCATTTTATTTACTGGCACACGCGCAGAGCCTCCGCAGCGGACGCCGAGCTGGCCAAGGCAGCGGGAACGGGGGCTGAGGAGAGAGCACGGGCGCCTGAGGAGCCGCACGAACCAGCGGAGGGGCGGGGCACCCAAGCCTTGGCCGAATCCGTACTATCGGGCACAGCTTCGCACACCCGCAAGGCGCTGTCCCGGCTCGGGCTGTCCCGGCTCGGACCGGCCCCGCTCCGTTGAGCCCCGGGGCAGCGCGGAGCCACAGCCGCCGCCGAGCCCGCGCACGCGCCTCGCCCCGCGCCTGCGCGCCACCGCCCCCGTCCCGAGTCCGCCCCGAGGGCGCATGCGCAGCGCTTGCCCACGGCTCCGCTGCTCGCACCTGAGGGCGAGAGTCGTGTTGGCCCAGCGACTTCCGCTCTCCCCGCTGCTGAGGCGGCGGCGGAGCCGCACGCCAGGCACGGGCGCTGCCGGCCCGCGGGTCTCTCTCCCCCCGCCCCGCTCTCCCTCCCTCCCTCCCTGTTGCCCTCCGGCTAGAGCCGACCACGCCGCTCGGCTCACCAGATAACGCGCCTGCCAGTCGTTCGTGGCGTCGATCTCCTGGAACTCCTGCTCGATGGCGGCGGACATGATGATGGCGGCGGACATGATGATGGCGGCGGCCGCCAGGGCGCGCGAGCCTGTCCGCAGGAGGCCGAGCGGCGAGCCCGCAACCGCTCGCGCGCAGCCCCCCGCCTCACGGGAGCAGCGGGAGCGCACATACGCTCGCGACCGGGTGTCCCGCAGCCGGCGCCGGGCGCATGCGCGATCTTGGCCCCGCCCACCGAGGCCGTGGAGATCACGCCTCCCCGGGAAGAGGAGGCGGGAAGCACCTGGGGTGACGTCACTGGCCCGGCGGGGGGCGGGGCCGCACTCAGGTGTCGCGGGGGCTCGGCAGCGCCGGGGGCTTCGGTCGCCACACGGCCACCGAGCGTTTGTTGTCACAAAAATCACGGACTCAGTTCGGTTGGAAAAGATATGCGAGATCATCCAGTTCATCCTGTGGCCAAACATCACCGCGTCAACTAGTGGGTACGTCAACCACGGCACTAAGTGCCACACCCTTCCTAAAGCACCTCCAGGCACGGTGACACCATCCCCTCGCTGGGAAGTCCGTCCCAGTATTTCATCGCCCTTTCTGTGAAGAATTTCTTCCTAATGTCCAAGACGAACCTCCCCTGGCGTAGCCTGAGGCCAAGTCTTCTTCCTGACGCTGGCTGCCCGGGAGCAGAGACCGGCCCCCACCTGGCCAAAATCTCCTTTCAGGCAGTTGTAGAGAGCACTAAGGTCACCCCCGAGCCGCCTGTTCTCCAGGCTAAACATCCCCAGCTCCCTCAGCTGCTCCTCACAGGACATGTGCTCCAGATCCTTCACCAGCTTCATTACCCTGCTCGGGAGATGCTATAGAACCCCAATGTCCTTCTGAACTGAGGGCCCCAGAACTGACCTCGGTATTCAAGGTGCAGCCTCACCAAAGTGTGTGCAGGGAGACAATCACTGCCCTGATCCTGCTGGCCACACTACTGCTGATACAAGCCAGGATGCCATTGGCCTTCTTGGCCACCTTCACACTCTGCTGGCTCTCGTTCAGCTGCTGCTGACCACTGGTCCTTTTCCACTGGGCCACTTTGCAGCCACTCTGCCCTCAGCCTGTAGCGCTGCATCGCTGTGCCGATGTCACGGAGCGGACACGGTCCCCGAAGGGTGCAAGAGCTCTTCCAGCCACCGGCGAGTCCCCAGCCCGGCTCAGCGTCGCACCCCCGGCGATGTGCGCCGCCGGCAGCCGCCGGTTCCCAAAAGCAGAAGTCCGCACACACGGACGTGTCGGACAGACAAATCTCGGCGGGGCTCGCGGTCCCGAAAGTAGAAACGCTGTGTCCCGCAGCGATTGCCTCACTGGGACAGAAAGTCCCTTAAGGGGCGGCTCCGGGAGACGCCGGACAAAGCCAAGGCTCGGGCCGGGTCAGAGGGCGCTGCGCTGCGCGGCCTGCCCGGGGACACCAGCCCGCGGCCCCCGGGCAGGCGGGGCCCAGCACAGACCGCGGCTCTGCACAGGTCGCCTTAAAAATGTGTGAATTAGTGCCACAAAGGGCCGTGTCCCATCAGCGTGTGTAAGTGTCTGAAGGGAGGGTGCCAAGAGCCTGGCTCTTCTTGCTGGTGGACAAGAGGCCACGGCAGAAACTGATGCACAGCAAGTTCCACCTGGATATGAGGAGGAACTTCTTCATTGTGCGGGTGCCCGCGCATGGAACAGATTGCCCAGAGAGGGTGTGGAATTTCACTCACTGGAGATACTCAAGAATCGTTTGGATATAATTCTGGGCAATGTGTTCTAGGATGACGCCGCTTGAGCAGGGAGGCTGGATCAGATGATCTCTCCCAATCTTCCACATTTTGTGAGAGGTTACAGCGCCTCCCCGCACGCCGGTGGCAGTCCTGCCCTCGGCCCCGCCCCATCACCTCTCTCAGGTTCCTATCCTGAACCTTCACTCCGGGCACACCCTTTCCCTGCCGCAGGCTCTGCCCCGCCCTCAACACGGCCCCTCACGGGCTGGGAGGTTTCCCTGGAAACGTTTGTCTCTGTCCTCTCCCACGCCCGAGGGGCCCCCAGCCGCTCCCCTCGGCTTCCCTGCTCGGGCACACCGCCCCCGCTGCCCGGGGCCCCTCGGAGTGCCCGACCCCCGGCACGTACCCACGGGCAGGGGCTGGGCGTGTCAGCTGAGATGTGACCGCGCTGAAGGTCGCGATGCCATCCACAGGGATGGCGTGGATCTGGACAAGCTCGAGAAGTGTACCCACGGGAGCCTGATGAGGTTTAACAAGACCCAGTGGTCAGGTCAAACCCCAGTATCAATACAGACTGGGGTCTAAATACACGGAGAGCAGCCCTGCCAAGAAGCACTTGGAGGTGCTGGTGGGTGAGAGGCAGGACATGAGCCAGCAACGTGAGCTTGCAGCCCAGAAAGCCAACCACATCCTGGGATTCTGCTCCTCTGCTCTACTCTTGTCAGCCCCCACCTGGAGAGCTGCATCCAGCCCTGGAGTCTCCAGCACAGGAAGGACATCAACCTGTTGGAGCAAGTCCAGAGAAGGGCCAACAAGTTGATCAGATGAATGCAGTCCCTCTGTTATGAGGAAAGGCTGAAAGAATTGGGATTGTTCAGCCTGAGAAAGAGAAGGCTCAGGAGTAATCTATTCTTCTAGGCCTTCCAGTGTCTGAAAGAAGCCTACAAGAAGACCTGGCTAGACACTTTTTAGAAGGGCCTGTAGTGATAGGGCAAGGGTGAATGGCCTTAAATTGAGAGTAGGTTTAAATTAGGAGGAAGTTCTTTGCTCAGATGGAGGTGAGACACTGGAACAGGTTGTGCAGAGAAGTTGTGGATGCCCCATTCCTGGAAGTGTTCACAGCCAGGTTGGATGGAGCTTTGAGCAACCTGCTCTAGTGGAATGCAAAGGGGTTGGAACTAGGGGATCTTTAAGATCCCTTCCAGACCATATGATTCTGTGATCTACAGCCCCTGTGATAACCAGCGGAGTGTGGCTGTGCTGTCGCAGTGGTTCTTCGTGTGCTGTTGCTGCAGCCCTTGCCTCCTGTGGGCCTCACCTGATGTTTAAGCACAGCAACAACAAGAAGCATTTTTTTTTAAACAGACTTTTGATTTTGAATACCTGTCACTGAATGCTGCTGCATTTCCTTTCTGCCACACAATGCTCCAAGTCCACTGGCTCATGTGCTTCCCCCAAGTCCTGGAAGAAAAGCTGGAGTCCTGGACACCATGGGAGTCTGTGATGCCTTTGAAGTACAGCAGATGGGACAGCATGGATCAGTAAGTTCATAACAAGTTTTTCCAAGTAATTCAAGGAAATGTTGCACAAGATTTTCTTGAACTATGGGTTCAAGCTTTGAAATCAATATAGAGAATGGTTTTCTTGGTTTTTTCTGCCTGCACGACTGATGCATGGGTCATGTCTGTATTTCTGCAGGTGCTCTCTAGTTAATTAGTGTTCTATGAATGATCAGTTATGAAACAAGCAAAGAAGAAAACATTTGTGAATTATGATTGTGATTTAAGAGTACAGAAAAGAGTCCAAGTGCCCATCCTCAAGGTAATGATTGATTTTCATTTGAAATAGATTTCTTTTCATTCAATTAATAAAATTATTCTTTACATCAGAAAACTTATGTTGCACAAGCTGGCTGTAAGAAAGTAAATAGGTACGTGGAAGCTGTCTGACAAATAACGAATTTTAATAAAGAAATTAAAATAGACATCTTCTTCGCTGATTTTAGTCTTTGGTAGGCTTTTCCCTGTATATAAGCTTGCTGATTGGTCTGGATTTATAGCATTTATGACATGATGTGCTTTTCACTCGTGCTTGTGATATTTGGGGATGTAGTTAATATTGGGACAGCAGTGTAATTGTGTGGTTAGGAAAGGCAGTTTTACAGTAGCAGCTCCATCTAGAATCTCTAATGCAGATCAGTGCCCAGAGACATCTCATGGAAAGCTAAAAATATTTATAACATGGGATTTGGAGCTGGCTTAGAAAAGCAATAACTTGTAAACCAGAGTTTTCTGAAGAAATTGCTATTGTCCAGATTTGGGTTGCTTTATTTTTACTGCAAATATGCTGAAAATGCAGCACCAGTTCTCTGGCTTTTAGTATCAAGCCCAGGATAGGCCCAAGATTAAATTTCTAATGGTCTGTGAAGGCGAACTGTACATACAACATAAACCAGGTACACTCATTAGAAAATCTATTCTGCCAATAGTAACCTCCCATTCTGTATTAGCTGTGCAGCCAAGCCCAGATGAGCCCTACCTAAAGTCTTATGCCCTTGGGATCAGGTGAGACATGCAAAGAGGGACAACGTAGTTGCTGGAAAGTCTAGTATATTGTCGTGTTTTCAGTCTTAGTATAAACACAAGCAAGCAATGTTTTTTAATTAAAATCTCTGATAATTTGAGAAGCCGATTGCTGTACTGACAAAGCAGTCACCCCAAAGTAATTGGTATCAGCAGCAGTTTTGATTTCAAAATTGACTTTGGTGTCCATGAAGACCAATCGAGTTAATTTTAAATGTTTTTGTCCAGTGACCTTGGCTGAACAATTATTTTAGTACCAGTCTGGAACAGACTAAGTGTTTGTTCCTCTGTGTGTACTTTTTTGGGTCATTCACTGGAACTACTTAAGCACCATTTATTGGAAATGATCTGGTTTGTGCTGCTTTTCTGAGAACCATTTTAGATATTGGTAGATGAAGAACAAATTCTTCCCTGAGGTAGTTTTATTCACAAATACACTCCACATCAATTTTAATTGTTAAGGAAGAGAACTGTAATGTGCTTAAGCTTGCCACGATGTGAAAGAGGAGAACATATAATTCCTGATTTAAGTTTTATAGCCCAAGGCCTAAAGGAGAAGAGGATCCTCCCTTCCCCAATGAACTGGATAGGACTTTAAACCCAGAAGGGCTGGCCACTCCTCTGGCATCTGGTAGGGAGTAGGAGAAGCTGAATGAAAAGGTCCAGTGGTTAGAATAAAACAGGTTTCATTTTTTATGTTCATTTACAGTGCACTCATATTTCAAACTTTTGGAAGCTGTATTTGTTGCTCAAGTGAACATTAAAATTCCCATTACTGAAAGTGGGTGTTGGTGCAAATACTTTTCCTCAACTCTATTACTGCTTTTCTTCCCCTGCCCAAAATTGTATTCTAGCATACAAGAATAAGGGGGGAAAAAAAAGAAAGAAAACA